GGGCAGACAATTCAATTTGATTCAAAGTTGCGGAAGTTCTCCCTTCCGATAGACCGTGTGGCACGGGTCGTTGATGTCAGTGCTGATAGTCAGCCATCAGCGGTCAGCAGTCAGTTACAAGAGGTTGCCGGTTCATCAGATCCCTCTTTAACTGAAACCGACAACTGCACTTTGCCAAAACCTGCAGAACTCTACTAAGGCGCGAGTTCTTGGTCAAAACTAGTCCCCTGAGATCCGCGTTACGTTGACTGACACCCAATTTTAATTTTTGAACCCCTTGAAGTCAAAGACGGTATACTGTTGGGACGCTCGCCGATCTATGAAAAAGGTATCGTGCCTATGGATAGCATCCAATATCTCCACTTTGGTGAAAAGGCAAAATCGTTCAAGTCTGTCTATGAAGAGTGGGTCGTCCGTCCAGCGAAGGAACCCGAGTACGCCGACGATCCAGAATCAGATCACGGGCACGATCATTAGGAGAAAGACAATGCAGTGGACTCTAAAAAGGATACTTGTGGCAGTTGCAGCGGCAGCGGCACTATGGTTTCCAATAGCACAGGCTGAAGAAACAGAAACACTGTTGCGCTGGAAAAATGGCGATGTTCTTCCGGGTCAGTTACTGGAAAGCAGTTCAGGAACGATCCGCTGGGCATCATCATATTTCTTAGACGATCTGGTGCTTGATGTCAAGGTATTGGATTCAGTCGCTTTCCGGAAAAAGTCGGTGTCAACAACGGAGGCATTTCGTGTGAGTGCTCTATCGGGTGATGTCTGGATAGCGGACCTCATCGGTTCGGATGACGAAACCTTTCTCTTTTCCAGCGAGCGGCAGGGTCAGTTTCGCGTGAATCGTTCGGCGGTTTATATGCTTGAGCGTCAGGAACGCCCTGACTTCCTTTTCGACGGTTCCCAACTAAAGAATTGGAAATTGCCATCTGAGAGACAGGTGGTTAATCCAGCATTTCCGTTTGACTCTGGTCGGCGTCCCACTTGGTTTGCGGGCCCGGAAGGTCACCCGAAGACATGGATTGCCAAGGCGGAAATCTTCCATGCGTTTAGTTGGCCTGAGCGTTTTGAGATTGAATTAGAATTAGCATCCGTTGCTCACCCACCGAATTTTTCTTTCGCTCTTGGCAAAGACCTCTACCAAGCATTGCGGTTGGAAATTTGGAAGGACGAACTCGTAGCTGTTCAAGGTGTGCTGTTTAAATCCGTTTTGGCAATTCAGCCAGAACAACGGAATGTCCGTTTGCGACTTACTTATGACGAAGGGACCGGCGTGCTAAGGGTGTTTGGCTCCACTGGCAATTTGCTACTGAATTTGGAGGGTATCAAACCGACGGTCAAAGAATCAGGTCTCTATATTCAGAATCGAGGTAAAGATTTGACGGTGCGGAGCGTAAAGGTTTACCGTCAACTTAAGGAGTCAGCAGCGCAGCGAATAAACTTTTCTCAACCACGCGTCTACATGACGAATGGTGAGAGAATTCAGGGCAGATTGTTTGTTCAGGAAGATGGTGCCTATGTCCTTGACACAGATGGAACGCGACGGGACATTGATCTGCAAGAACTTAACCACATCGTTCAGCCCGGAATTCCATTGACAGCATTGGATCAATCCGTTACTTTAAAATATCCTGATGAAACTGTTTTGCACGGGAAACTTATGCAAGTGAACTCAGATAGTGTGATCCTCCAGACTGCATTCGCCAACGAACCAGTAACCTGTTCGCTCGCGAATGCTTCACTGCTCAGCTTTGCTGCAAAGTCTGACGTTGGCGAGGCGGTTCAAAATACAGACAAATTGTTTTATGCATCAGGGACTCTGCGCGGACGCGTTTTATTCGGTGGAGATCAAGCCGCATCGTCTATACAGTGGGAGTCGGTAGGTGCATTGAAGCCTGTGCGATTAGCAAACAACCGAGCATCTCATATAGAACGGAACAATAAACCTGTATCAAAGATAGAGGCTTTTGACACAGCACAGTTCCGTCACACGATGCATCTGCAAAGTGGAGAAATCTTGCCGTGTCAAATTACATCGTACGATGGAAAGTCCGTCAGTTTTCGATCGCCTTTTATCAGTGCTCAGCACTTGGATTCGGTAAATATGAAAGCACTTGAGTTCTCCGGCAGAACACACGCGCCGAGCATTGAGAGAACGCAGCCTGCAACCGACTTTGATTCCGTTAGCGTTACTTGGGCAGGTAGGGAAATGGGATTAAAGAGATTAAAATGCAGCTGGTTGGGCAGGGCAAAGATGGAAAACAGTTATTTATAATAAATGCCGACAACGCGAAGAAAATGAACGAAGGACAGCTGGTATTGATAGTAAATGAAAAGAATCGCGGACGAGAATGGATTGAAATCGAAAACAGAGCTGGAAAGGATATCAGGGCGCAACCAGGTGATGGATGGGTTGGACTCCTGTCCACGTCTGTACTACCCGACCCCGAAAAGGATAAGTCGGATCTGAAATTGGAACGCGCCTTAACCGTCCCGCGCTTCAACAGAGATAATCCGCCGAATCATATAATAGTCGCGAAAACAGGTGATATGAAACGTGGAAGATTTTTAGGCTTCCGAGGACAAACGATTCAATTTGATTCAAAATTGCGGAGATTTTCCATTCCCATCAATCGCGTGGCGCGGGTGGTTGATGTCAGCGGGAATAGCCATCCTTCGCAACCAACAACCACTCAAACTGAGGTTCGTGTCACGTTGACCGACGGTTCAATGCTAATTTTTGAACCGCTTGAAGTTAAAGATGGTCAACTAATAGGACGTTCGTCCGTCTACGGAGAAGTATCGGTGCCAGTGAGCAGTATCCAATATCTGTACTTTGGAGAGAAGGCGAAGTCGTTCAAGGATACCTTTGAAGAATGGGTAGTGCGTCCAGTAAAATGACTTCAAACAGGACCGGTAGGTGCGGTTTGGCGACACACCATAGGTGTCAATTTACGGATTTTGACAGTGTTTTGGCAACTATAGATATAAACATGCCGCCCTTACAGGGCTTAGGTCTTTGCTCGAAAACTCATGCTATAAACATGCTCCCTATGGACTACAGAGCCATTCACAGGACGCAAGGTTTTTATCTATGACCCGGCGTAGTTTCAAAACAGTGCCTTACCGTTTCTGGGGACTGAGACAGTTATTTTTTCTTAAATTGACACTTATGGTGCGGTTTGGCGACACACCATAGGGGTCAATTTAAGGATTTTGGACGGTGTTTTAGCATAACGTGAGTTTGATAAAAGCATATTGTAGCGCAAACTTTCCAGTTTGCGACCATAGCACACAAACTGGAAAATTTCTGTTCCAGACTCGGTAGGCGCGGTTTCAAAACACGCGGGCTTTAGACACAAAACTTATAGACTTCAAAACCTTTCTTCAGCCACACCATAGGGGTCAATTTAGCGATCCATACTCCCGTAGGTTGGGTTGAACGGTGTTGAGAAATCAGATATTGGTCATCCAAACACACCTCAAAGTCAATATGCTGCCCATATACTCAAGAACATAGTGAAACCCAACTTCATACCCGCAGCGTCTCGGAAATAAAAGCGTTGGGTTTCACTCGGTTTTTGTTTGACATAACACTTAGGGAGCGGCTTGGTTTTTCTATGCCTTTTCACGGTTTGGGGGTATCCGTTCAACCCAACCTACGATGCCATGAGCCGTGTTTCTTAAATCGACACCTATGGTGCGGTTTGGCGCCGCACCGGACATCTACGAAAAACCACCAGCTCATAAAACAAAAAAGGGCGTGGCATCAATCACAAACCACACCCAACTTCTATTTTTTCTTAACTGACAACTGACAACTGAAAGGTTTTCGCAGAAAACCGTACTGACAACCAATCAACCAATAGCCATTAAAAAAGTGCAAAGCGGTGGACAGGGAATCCACCGCTTTGCGACTTTAGGTTAGTTCGGTTATAGACTTCTCCCTGAATAACCGAGTTGTTGCTTATTGCAACGCTTTTAGTTCACCCCATGTCGTTGTGAGTTTACCAGCCGCCGTGACGTTACCTTTCAAACGGCTCTGGCGCAAGGTCTGCACTTTACCGTCTAAGGAAACATCCTGAATCTGGTAGTAGTAGACGACATTGGGTTTCGCAGTCGAGTCTTTCCACTCATAAGTCATACGCTCACTTGTGGTGCCTTGACCTGCGATCAATGAAGTGTTAATCTGGGTGAATTGACCGTCGCGGGTTTCGCTACGCAGGATGTTGAATCCAGCGTTGTTCAACTCAGATTCGGTAATCCAACGGACAACGATTTCGCCACTGTCGAGACGTTCCGGACGGAACTTCGACAACGAGACAGGCAGCGGACCGCCAGTACGGAAACCGGGTGTACCACTGTCGTCTGGATCGCCATAGTAAGCAGGAGCGTTTACCCTTGAATTAGCGCAGGCTTACCTCGACCGCGTCGCTCGCTCTGTGTATCTTGCAGGCACAAAAAGTCACAACGAAGGGCATGTATCGACTCCCGCATGCTATCTACTACTATACCTAGCCCGTGTCAGACTCTCCGCGAGCTACTAGCGGGTTACCGCGAGTACAAAGCCCAGCCCATCAATTAGTGCTACCGCGCATGCGCAGTTCGCCGAGGGTTTGCACTTTAGTGCCTTTCATTGTCCCGTAAGTGTGTCCGTCTGTCCGTCTGTCGGTCTGTCTGTTACCACGTTTTCTGCCACCGCGCGCACGAAAATCAGGTAAATAGCGATATGATCGGGTTCAGTGCTACACTGGGTTGTTCGTAAAACTACTGTGTTTTAAAAAGTTATGGCGTAAAAACCCAGTGAACAAGCCAATATGTAAATTAGCACAGGCTTACCTCGACTGTGTCTTGAAGGCACAACAAGTCACAACGAAGGGCATGTATCGACTCCCGCATGCTATTTACTACTGAAGCTTGCCCGTGCCAGACTCTCCGCGAGCTACTAGCGGGATACCACGCATAAAAAGCCCAGCCCATCAATTAGTGGTACCGCACATGCGCAGTTCGCCGAGGGTTTGCACTTTGGTGCTTTTCATTCATGCAGAACTGATTGCTGTAGGTGGACATAAGGAACATCGTTACACAAAGGAACTTGTCAAACTGCAGCAGAGAAAGTGGGTAATAGATCAAAGCTGTTCAATGCTCTATGCATGCTCTTCTACTGCCATAGTTACTGCATCTGATGGTTTATTCCTAGTTGTTGTTGGATGTCGCAATGGCGACCGAAACGCTAGGGTTCAACTGTTCCAAGTAAACAAAAAAAAATGGTACAATTTATCTACCATAGAATGTGGGGACAAAATTTACGTAATTGAAACTGCTGGTAAAGGCTATTGGTGCTCCCTTAAAGCTTCTCTATTGTGGCGATGATCTAGCATCACATGTGATATCATGGAAATATGTTCCTCTACTACCAGTTACATCTTCAACCGCAACAACCCTATGTGGGCAGCTAATTCTTATTGGTGGCAGTCGACAAGGGTCACTTGTCTGCACAATTTACCAGCTTGTTGATGATAACTGGATATTAATATCGTTATTCACATCATCGCAGTACAATTCATTGGAGAGCGGAAGCGAGCTAACCGAACGGCTCGATTTTTTGGGCTCCACCCCATTTGTAAGCTCGCTTCCGCTCACCAATCGCCTACTAGTTATAGTCATGGTGATGTGTGTCAAGCTGTCACAGTTGTCACGCCTGCGTAGCTACCTGAAGCCAGTATAAATTTACCTCTGTGCGTGTGCCGCCATATTTTGCTCTTGCATGATATCTGACTTCAGAAACGGGGGACAGGAACCGAGTATGGAAGTGAGACTTCAACGTGTGTACTTAGTGGACTTACTGGAGTCACTAAAGCGCAAACCCTCAGCGGAGATGCGTGTGATCACTAGAGAATGGTTCCATGTCAAAGCAAAGTTGAGGAAGACCGCCTAGTAGCCATTATACCGAGTAGCTGGCAGCTAAGCTCTCGGTCGCCGCGTCCAGCGGGGCTCGGGGCCTGCAGTAGCAGGCGGCGCCCTGGGATAGGCGTGGCTAGCTAAGTGGCCGCCTGGTGGTAGGTGAGCGTAAAATGATCTAAACGGGAAACGAGAAATGAAAAATTAAAAACGGGAAAGGGAAACGAGAGATAGGAAACGAGAAATGAGAAACGGGAAGCGAGCAAGGGTGAGCGTGAAATGAGAAATGGCGGAGGAGAAACTAAACTACGCAGGCAAACGGGAAACGGGAATCGCAAAATGCTTCTATGTTATACCTCTCGGCCACCGTACTATGCTCCTAGTGCAAATCAACAGCAAAACGCAAACTATATAGCCTGTTAGAAATATGTAAACTGGCTTACAGAAGGCACTTGAGGATGAAGGTTCCTCCGCAGGTTAGTCTCGTGAACCTGAGTAATGCGCGCTCACCGCATTGTAAACGCCCTCCTCGGCGCATGACTATAATAATAATAACTCTTCTACTTCAGACTATTCTGACTATAATAATAATAATAATAATAATGAAAAGCACTAAAGTGCAAACCCTTGGCTCAAAATGCGCACGTTTGGGGTTTTGTAAGCTACGTAGGTGGGCTATTTCAAAGTGGTTCGTATCGAACAGTTATTTCGTTTAACAGTGTTCGTATTAATGAGGTTCCACTGTAACTGCAAAATTGAATATAAGATGAACAAATTGGATGAAGGGTATCTGCTATGAGTTCATTAGTGCTTATCAGAGTAACCAAATGACATGTTGTTGCAAGTATGCAGTAACACAGTCTAGCTATGAGAGGAGCATTATTGTGCATTGAACATGATGGGATGGAGTGTCTGTGCTTTGATAATAATATAATTAGCTCAGAGGGATCCTTCAACGTAGAAATGAGAGTTCTTCTTTAACCCTGTCATGTATGAGATATTAATTTTGATGGATAGCCTGTATAGGAGGGATGGTAATACCGATAAAATTGGTCAAGTGATTATACTTAGAAACATAGCACTACTCCATAGTGATTATGTATACCACACTCAAAGGCTCTCACACATTCGCTTTTTTTGCATTCTACTGTGCTTCGTTGCTTGGGATATATTGCCAGACTGGGCTTTACTGCCAGATTGGGCTTTACGCTTAGATGGGAAGGCATGGCCGCATCCACAAACTGCTCGTCTAACGTGAACTGCTGTGCTACATTGCGGACATACCTTGCTCAGTTTGTTGTCCATCGAGAACAAACACTGGCAGAGGAGAGAAACTCAAGAACCCCTTGCTCGTCCAAGGTCAACTAAAATTACCACGTGGCATCTCGCAGATGCGCATGCTCCGGCAAACGATAGCATGCGCCCGTGCGCGATGGATCGCTCGCGTCTGATGATGCTCCGGCAAACGGTACACACCCACATACGCGCGTGCGCTAGATGGATCGCTCGCGTACGCTGTTTCGCTTGTTTTCACGCCATATCTCTGGAACGCAGTCGTTTCAGGAAAATCTCCACATTTATAGGCCGCCGCTTACTCGGCTGGACCCGCCGCGGTACGGCTTACTGCCAACTCATTCGCGCACAAAATAGACAAAACGACTTCAGTGGGCACAGGAGTATCTGGGCGCGGACTTTCACAATGTTATTTGGAGAGATGAAACCTCCGTTCAAATGGAAACACACCGTCGCTTTTGGTGCAGGAAGAAAGGTCAAAAACCTCGTTATAAACCCCGCCTCAAACACCCAGTGAAAGTACATGTCTGGGCTGGTATTAGCTGGAACGGAGCTACCAATTCCTGCATATTTGAAGGAATAATGGTTGCAGAACTCTACTGTCAAATATTGGATGAATACTTGGTACCGTTTATACAGGCAGTCTATCCGCAAAACCACAGGTTTATGCAGGACAACGATCCAAAACACACATCCAGAATAGCACAAAGTTTCTTTGCTGACAGAAAGATCAACTGGTGGCGTACGCCACCAGAGTCACCCGATGCAAACCCTATTGAAAATATGTGGCATGAACTGAAGGTGCGTAAAATTATTGCTTCACCCTGCACTTTAAGATTCTTTTGTGGTCCAGCTTGTTTTACTCGCGTTCTTTAGGAATACCTTCGAAAGGAGGTAAAACCAACTACCAAAGATGAGCTGGTGAAAGGCATAGCTATCTGAGTTTTAGGAGTTGGTACCGTTTCCAAGTGCAGGAAATACAGCAGTCATCTGATACCAAGAATAATAGAGGTTGGAGGAGAAGCCACTGGTTACTAGGTTAGTTTGTGCATTCGTGTTTTCGTAATATTATCTTAGTTTAATGAGTATAGCTAATACATAAGTGCCAGCAAGGGTAGTAGGGAGTTCCATGTATATTTTTTAAGTTATAATTATTGTCTAGCCCGGCTTTTAGGGTCAAAGATATTCTCTTCAAGCAGCTCTAAAAAAGATCATGCGAAAAGTTTATACCGATAAGCTTACCAGCAACAAGGCCGGCAAGATTACTACTTACCCGTTGTCGAGGAATATCCGCTGGGAAGCGATGCCATGGTCGCAGCCCGGGGGTCAGACGCGGCGGCCACACGGGCGGCAATCAGGCGATCGATGACCACTATCTGCTCCGGGGAGAAGGGAGTTG